AGAAGCTATGTCAGCAAGAGAAGCTCCGCCACCAACAGCACTGTCCACATGGTGTTTATGTTGGTGTAATTTATGTCACTCAAGGGGGCGGTTTATTCTTACCCCTAAGCGACAAATTCTGTAGACAAAGCCTTATACACCTAAGCCAGTCCTCTGGCTGACTTGAGCTGGGGTCTGAGCTAAGAGAAATCAAAGGGAAAGAGAGACACCCCAAATGCAAAGACTGAAGAATGGAGTTTGCCAACTGAGTTTCACAATGGGAACTCCAAAGTGGGGGGAAATCTGCAAGAAGAAGAAATACTTATCTTTGTTCTAGCATTACCACAGAATAAAGTAAAGGTGAAGGAAACCGTTCATGATAGGGAATGAGTGGGTAGCATTAAAAGAGGTGCTCTGGGTCCACCAACTTTTAGGGCTTTAGGAGAACCAGGCACAAATTAATCTAGTTCTCAGTGAACAAGGGATCATGTTAACTACTGGCAGACTCAGAGGTCATGGGCTGAATTGGCAAGGACCGATATTACCTTCTCATATCCAGAAGTTTCCCACAATCCCAAATCAAGGAGGAGGAAAAATAGGAAGAATCAGAGGTTGCATTGCCTAGGGTGACCAGGATTTAATCCTGAGCTAGGGAGTGATGTTTGTAGGGAATGAGAGTTCAGAGACTCTCCGGAGGGTTTGGACTGCTAGACAGGCATGTTAGGGTCTAGGAACACTCAGGGACATGCAACTACTGGGAAGATTAAATGGCACTCCCCTTCCTACAGGTCCCACCTCTTCCGCCACTTTATGCTTTATCAGAGTCCAAATTATTTGCTTTTCTGCTGCCTCCTCCTTTCGGATTCCATCACACTAGAGGAATATATAGCTACAGTGTGCCAGTGAGCAGAGGGAGAGAAAGAATAGACTGTGCGGAGAGGGGGAACAAGTTGTACTGCCGGCCAGGAGAAGATGGGTAAAAAGACTTAATCTAGGAGGGGCTATCCAGTAGGAGTAGTTGTATGGGCAATGGGCAGTTTTTAATTAAACTGGGTGCTGGGGTGCAAAAAACTTCCACACAACTTCCCCAAAAACCCAGACTCAGGAGCACTGATTGCAATTCGAGATAATTCCAGTACAACCAGGGTACCTGGTCACTGTAACCTACCATTTCCTGGGCTGTAGATAAAGAGTTTTATTTCCATTACTATCACTGTCAGTCCTGTGATATTTCATGGGTAAGAAGTCAACCTAATACCTCATACACTCTTCCATTTGGTACAATTTTCCAGATATAGGGGCATCTTTACTATCCCTTTAAGATAAGGACAGCTCAGTTTTTGATTAAAGTGTTTAGGAAAGTCAGTTTATTGCCAGGATAAATCTCTCTTGCTCTGGATTCTGCAAGCGCTTTTCGACTTCTAGTTCTATCATTCTGAATTCAAGAACTTGCTAGTTTTGGTTGTAGGTTTCAGTGCTGAACCAGAGATCTTTCTCCATACACTCTGGAACTGGAAAAAGACTGGTTAAGCCAAGCAGCACATTTACCTGCCAGAAGAAAAATTTGCTTTCGGTGATGTTTGCAGTGTTTTGTCCTTCAGATCTCACAGTACTAGATCTGGCCATTACCAGCTCCACAACGGTGTACACACACCACTGCCTCGCGCACCTACCCTCTCTCAGCCACTCATTCATGCAGATTATAGCAATTCCCTCCTCTATCACCTCTGAGAATCACTCTCACCAAGTCCCCAGTCTATTCAGACTAATGCTGCAAATATGCTCACCACCAAGAATACACAAGACTGCTTTCCCCAAACCTCATCCAAAGAAACCTCCCAAATTCTGTCTCCTGGATTTCAAAACCCTTTGTGGCTCCTATGCCCCTCAATCTATACTATATCTGATCTCATTCTCCCAATACCTTCACTTGCTGCCTCCTCTCAGACCCCAACCCAATCTACTCTGTTGGAGGTTGACCCTCTGCTGCTGCTTCTGACCAGCTATGCAGCTCACCAATCCTAAACAAAACAAAAAACACCAGCTTGATACTCCCCTCATCAACACTACCAACAGCAGCTGTTGGTTCCCCACACTGGTGGTTACCAGTACCCTATGCATCTCCTAGTCTATTAACCCCCCGCCCCAGATCCCCATCATATCTAGCGACCATTGCAATGTCTGTGCATTGTGAGACATTTGCATGAATGACATGCAAACATTATTACACCAAAATAAGCCATCATATCTTACTTACTTACACACACACACACACACACACACACACACACACACAGAGTAAATACAGACAAGGCACATCACGGAGTCTCATTGCATTCCTGTTTATACCTGATATCGTGCCTCTGTGAAACATCAAGTCACATGGAAAAATAGATTCTAAAAACAATAAATTAAACCAGAAGGGCCCAATTTTAAAACATTCAGTGTGTCATGTTTCGAGCATCACAAATACATTTCTGGAGGTGTATCATGTAATCATTAAGCTTCTTGCACAACACAATTAAATCTTGTGAAAACCCTATAAGAGCACGTGCAGCATAATGTAATGACAGATTGTTCATCCCATAAATGCCAATTAAATTACAGTTTTAAAACTGCCAGTTTTATTCCGAAATCTATTCGCCAAAACAAAATTGAAATTGGAAAGAGTTTAAAGCAGGGATTAAAAAACTTCAATGTGCAAGATCACAAATGCATCATTTGGAATGCATTAATTCAGTACTTATTAACTGGCGATTTACTGATATGTCAAACCAAACTGTAAGGTCACAGATAGCAGAATGCATATGAATTTTATTCTATTCTGAAGAAAATACACAAAGATAGAGCTTCGTTAATCAAACTTGACACAGAGAGCTCATCAGTAAAATTCTAATACAAAGCTGTATAAATGCAAGACTATTAACACTGCACAATAGAAGTCAAGAAATACAGAAGGAAAGGTTCCTATACCAATGTTAATTGAGCTGTTCTGCTCACGTAGGCCCCAATTCAGCACACATTTTAACCACATGACTAACTTTAAGTGCATAAAGAGTCCCAGTGGGACTACTCATTTGCTTAAAGTCAGGCATATGGTTAAGTAGATTGTTCAATCAGGGCCTATACCATAGCACCCAATCTGGAAAGCACATAAGCACATGACTAAGTACTTCCCTGAATTGGGACCATAATGTTTTTCCTATTCAAACATACATCTTAATATATTACTGTTTAGGCTATACAACATATACATTGAAGTGTGCAATGTGGAGAGTTACTATTCCTCTACGAAACCACCAACTCAAAATTTGAACTTTTTTTCCAAATCGAATAAAGTAATTTCAGGTACTACATATGCTTCTGAGTGCCCCACAAACTTTCAGGGGGTTAAAATATATTTCACCTGCCATGTTTTTCCAATATCCTGTAGCTTGTGAAAATCCTATATAAAAGACAGGAAAAATTAACATTTTCAAAAGCACCTCAGTGACTTCAGAGCCCATGGGCTGGTCTACACTGAAAGCTGTACCAGTGTAATTATGTCAGTGAGAGGTGTGACTTTTTGCTGATATAGTTAGTGCAGTAAAAGCCCTAGGATGCACACAGTATAAAAAGTGCTTTATACTGGTACTACATTTCCTGAACCAGAATAAGCTATATTGGTATAAGCACTTCTATATTGACATAACTGTGCCCACATCGGGGAGTTGGGAGAAGAGGGGTTTGCTGCTTTAACTACACACATATCCGTAAAGGTGTTAGCCATCGGAGATGTCTACTTAGACTTAAGCCACAAGTTCAAATCCTAGCAGGCTTGACTCAATCTTTTGTCCTATGTAGAAAATTAGGGTATCATGCATTATGTGTGGAGGTCTTTGTGAAAGAACTTAATTGATGTCCTGTCTGTTCTGCATGGACAAATGTAATGGCTCTTTAGTAAGAGTACGGGTTCTTGGCAGAAATTCATCCCATCCAACATGGACACACAGAATATTGTGCAGCATGCTGTGCAAAAGAGGTTGCTGCATTTCAGTTGTGCTGTGCGTGGACACTCGTGAAATACACTGGGATCTTCTGTAAAATAAAAATATATACTTATTTTACAGAAGGGGAGGTAGTCCAGTAATTAACTAAGGTTGAATTTCCCAAGTGTTTTAATCTATCTGAACACACGATCACTTTAATAGCTTGTATCCTGTGCACTGGGGAAATGAAACGCAAGGATAAACTTCCTGAGCAATTAATGTGTAATGATATAATTGTGTTAACCTTATTGGGAAAAACTTAGCATTGAAAGACGAAATGCAGTAGCAACAACTACACATTTATTCAGAAACAGTAACAGAGAATACTACTGACCAGATCCACAACTGGTAGCTAAACTGATTCACATCAGTTTAAGAGCTGGCTCTGCATGTGCATAATGTGGCCACATTAACAATTCTGTAGGAACCTTACCTTTTCACATTTGCTGACTATTTTAATGTTTCGTTTACCTAATTTTAACTACACAGAGATGTACGGCATACATGAGTATACTATGAAGACACAAGTCACATTAGTCAGAGGCAAGAGTGAGTTATTCCAAACTTTAAAATTCCATTCTATTCAATTTAAATAGGTTAGTTATGTTCTCAAGGAAGTCGTCCTTTGAAATGGAAAGGAGGACTTTGGCCTCATGGGGCAGCATAGACTATTAGATCTGAATACAATCTAATTTGTACAAATTTCCCCCACTGGAGATAAATTAGCTTAAAAAGATAAAACTTAATTACTGAATTCTCAGGAAATTCATTCTGGTGTGAAGATAAAAGTTTGTAACATTGATGTAAAAAGACCAGACCTGTCCTTCAGGTCAACAATTAATGGCATCCTGTCTATAAGTGTCACCCCAAATTTTGCTCAATGCAGAGGATTAATACTTGCTGCAAGCCAAGTTTTGAGGCTTACATTTTCTGTTCTTTCAGATCACTAGGTGCTTTGAATGGGGCAGAAAAGAGGGAGAAAATCACCCTTACCTCTTATCTTGAATCTCTTCAGAGCAATTTAGATGCATTCACTTGCCTGAAAGAAAAAGCATAAGACATACATACTTGACCTAGAGTTTTCCCCTAAGTCTCAGTCTTTGGGACAAATCTTGTTTTTGGCCCCCCTGTGCAAATCTCTTGGGTCAACAGGGCTGCACACAGGTAACAGAGATCAATATCTAGCCCTTAGTGTGAAAATTCTGTGAGTATTATTCAGTAGTCATTCCAAATGCATACAGTGGGGGTGGGGGAACCTACAGCCCGCGGGCCGGATTTGGCCCGCTGCTTCATTTCAGCAGGCCTGCAACAAGTCTCAGCACCACGGGCCAGAAACCCTTAGCCTCGGCACACCCCCCGCGGGACTGGAGCCATGAGCGCCAGCTCACCCTGCTGCGGGGGAAAGCTGGGGTTGCCAGGCTGTTAAAGTTTGGTCAGCTCAGCGCAGCTCCCAGAAGCAGTTAGCATGTCCCTGCGGTCCCTGGGCAGACAGGCCATTGCGTGCTACCCCTGCCCCCAGTGTCGGCTCTGCAGCTCCCACTGGCCAGGAACCGTGGCCAATGGGAACTGTAGGGGCAGTGCCTGCAGGCATAGGCAGTGCGCACCAAGCAGAGCCCCCAGGCCCTCCGCCTAGGGGTGGGACATGGAGGCTGCTTCTGGGAGCAGCGCAGAGCCCTGGCAGGCAGGTAGCCTGTCTCAGCCCCGCTGCGCCACCGACCAGGAGCCACCTGAGGTAAGCGCCGCCCAGCCGGAGCCTGAACCCCAAACCCCCTGCCTCAGGTCCAAACCCCTCCCACATCCTAACTCCCTTCCAGACCCCACAGAGGTCGGAACTCCCTTCCGCGCCCAACCTCCCTCCCAGAGCCCACACCCCGCACCTCCTCCCGCAGCCCAACCCCCTGCCCTAGCCCTGAGCCTGCTCCCTCACTCCAAACCCCTTGGCCCCAGCCTAGAGCCCCCTCACGCACTGACCCGCTCATTTATGGTCCCACCCTGTAGCCTAGGGGAAACCCTGAGCTGCTGACCCCCTGCAGGGCTGTCTGGCCCACAACTGATGTTTTCTGTGGGTCAGTGGCCCCGACGGAAAAAAAGGTTCCTCACCCCGGCATACATCTATTAAATTTTACAACCTAAACGTACGTTCTATTTGTCCTGAAATACAGAAAACTGCTAGGGAATTGATCAGTATGTAAATTTCTCTTATTGTGCATGAAAAATCAATTCTACTGGCCTTCGAAGTCCACTTGTACCATCCTCCCTGCTTGATGCTGTTATACGTTCTTCAGAAAGAACGAGTCAATTTTAGCTCAAAGAAAAATCCCAACATGCAAGCATCGGTCTTGAACCTCCAAATATTATTTGTCCAGATCTACGAGTAAAAGAAAGGCAACCAAACTACACGGACACCAGTTTCGTTTTCTGGAGCCATTAATGACATTATAAAAGAAGGTTAGAAATGGCTTCTCTTACAATCCGTTATCTTACTTCAACAGAACAGAGACTACTATTAGTTTGTATCTCTGCAGGGCCTGCCAGGCAAGGATCCTAAAGCTCTTTACAAACATTAATACAGAGTTTTTTTACCCAGAAAAAGAAGTATTAAAAGATTCCAGGAAGTCCACTAGGAACTTTGCTATTACTATAGATTTTACATAGAAGGTGCTCAGATACTACAATGAGGGGTGGCAGAATAAATCCCTCAGATAATTAATTTAGCCTCACCACCCCTGTGGCAGCAAGTATTTATTTCCATTTTTCAGACAGAGGGCCAGGTGAGTTTATAAATCAAATAAAGCCCCCACTAAACTCAATAGAATGACTTCAAGTGGGAGTTAAATCAGGCCTTAAATTACCTTCCCAAAGACCCAAAGTCAGTGGTAGAGGAGGAAACCAAAACAGCTCATCTGACTCTTAGTCATGTGCTTTTGCCATAGAACTATCCTTCCTCCCCCACTTACTGTAATAGCGTAAGTTACAGAATACTGTATTTGACCACTTAATTAGCAACTTTGAATTAAAAGCTATGTCCACCTTCTGGATTAGAATACACACAATCATTTAAATATATGGGGTGGGTGTGTATTTCTTCTTCATTTTAAAAGGGTCTTCAGGAGAAGTACTGGACATTGTTTCCTAAAATCAGAAGTCCTGACTCCAATCCTAAAAAGCCTAGTTTAGCTGGGCTGCAGAAGTTAGTCTGTATATTTAGCATGAACCATTAAATCTATTGTCAATGAAAAGGGACGTATAACTGAATTAGCAGAACCAGCTTATGGCAGAAATTTAATTACAAGGCAGAATTAAAGGATGATAAATCAATTTTTGGAGGCTGGACAAGAAAGGGTTGTTGTTGGATTAGATACTAGTATCAAGGCAAATGGTAGATTACAAGTTACCAATCTGATGGTTCTACAAAATCATTTTTAGTGTTATACCTATTAAGAGGCTGTTTTGACAGACCAAAGGAAAGAAGGCAGTACATTATGAATGACCCCTTGATGTAGCTCCTATCACACTTTGCTATATAAGGCTGGCTGAATGCAACCACTGCATCTCAAGTCACACACATTACTCAACCTGAACATATCCAAATGATCCCTTTAAATTCTAAAACGCCTGTTAACTAGTAATTCTATCTTTCTAACACACAGAATCCAAGGTCTTCAGCATTAAAAGTCCAAGTCCCTACCACTTGAGCTGAAAGAGTAACTCCTTTAACCATAAAGAAATAGCAGGCTTTTATCCTCAGTGAGAGCCAACTATCAGAAGGAAACTGGAGCAGAAGTTGCTAGCCTACTGCTTGTAAGTTATACAGACAACCCTGACTTTGGGGAAGGAGTGTCCTGAATATGGACCTGATTTGAACTGAGTTTTCGTATGCACCACCCATAACCCTGAACACTCCATAACAGCCACATGGGGTTTTCAACACAGCCAGGGTTAAGCACAATGTATATTTGTGCTTCAATTCTGTTGTCTCTATATAGGGGGTTAAGCATCCCTTTGTAAGGTACTAGGATTTGCGAGAGATTGTACTCACTCACTGCTGTTACCTGCAGCATTTTATTATGTACTCTGAAGCTGTTCCATCCATGTTTCTTCATTTCTATTCATGGCTATTATTCTTATAGAACACTCCTCTCAAAATGATGGAGCTTGAAATGTATTTAGCTCTTTTTTCCTCATTAACAGCTACTGCTTCACCCTGCACTGCTCCAATGTTTATTCATTTTCCCTTTGCTGAGAATATTCTCAAATCAATAGGAGTAGTAGGCATTAAGAAGACACTTACTCATGTCTTGAAAGTTCAGCTTTAACAGTCAAATAGCATTAGGGCAAATCAGTACGGTTATTAATGCTACCTTTACAGTCAAGTTTCTCACTAGCTCATCTTCTTTCAAAAGTGCTGTACATGCCAGCAAGCTTCCTTCAGACATCATAAAGCAGAGGCTGTGTCTATGTTCTCATCTAGCAAAGCTTGCTCACTTACAGTTCTTATTTTGATTGGGATATGCTGGCATCCCACAGGTTGCTCTTCTTGAATGCAAACAAGTACTCTAAGCCCTGAGAACGAGGTACTCCCTTCTCTATTTTTGTGGTCATGTCAGGAACACTCCAGATATCAAAGAGCTGCAACTCTCCTACCACGTGATCACCTTTTCTTTTTTAAGATGGCATTTTCCTTGGCCAGTTCTACAGCTCCTCTAGCGCCTCTCTCTCCTTCCAGTACTCCACTCCTGTGTACACTGCTATCCAAGCATTTACACTATACTCACACTCGTCCCCTAGGCCAGACGACACACTGCATCTGTTCAATACATGCTAGCCAGTCACCTGCTCCTCTAGATCCCTCTGCTGGCCCAACTTCCCCTCACGACATTTCCCCCAACTCTCCTCTTTAAAAGAGTGCCCTTAAAATTGCTACATCCACAATCTATCATGAGCCTATTGGGCAATAGGGCCATGTGAGCCCATGTGAGGTGTAATTCACAAGGTCAGCATCAAGCAGCCGGTAAAGAGATTCATGCTCCCTGCAATAAATGCTGACATGCTAACCCTACATGTAAAGCTCCAGAGGAGCTGAGAAGCCACTCAGGGTTTCCCCCCCCCCACAAGTTCTACCAATTTAGGGGGGTGGGAGTGGGAAAGAGGGAGAAATGATAAGTTGTGGCCAGTTTGCCCTACCCCGCTCAAGAGCTTTCACCCCAAGTCCATTTCCATTCAGAAATGTGCTCTACCCCAATGATAATGTCATAAAGAGCAGTTAATACTCCACAGCCCTCCTCCCCCCCCCCCGCCATGCACGCATGCAGCGGAGTCAGTACTACATGGAGGGGTTGAGCAGCAGGAGCCATTAATCCTTCCTTCCTCCGATCTGGACAGTAACATGCCACATTTTCTATTTATTGAGGCCCTGATTACCATAGTATCGGAGCATCTGAGTCTTCCTAAAAGAAAAGGAGTACTTGTGGCACCTTAGAGACTAACCAATTTATTTGAGCATGAGCTTGCATGAGCTACAGCTCACTTCATCGGATGCATACCGTGGAAACTGCAGCAGACTTTATATATACACAGAGAATATGAAACAATACCTCCTCCCACCCCACTGTCCTGCTGGTAACAGCTTATCTAAAGTGATCAACAGGATATTCTATCTACTACCCAAGATCCATAAACCTGGAAATCCTGGGCGCCCCATCATCTCAGGCATTGGCACCCTGACAGCAGGATTGTCTGGCTATGTAGACTCCCTCCTCAGGCCCTACGCTACCAGCACTCCCAGCTACCTTCGAGACACCACTGACTTCCTGAGGAAACTTCAATCCATCGGTGATCTTCCTGATAACACCATCCTGGCCACTATGGATGTAGAAGCCCTCTACACCAACATTCCACACAAAGATGGACTACAAGCCGTCAAGAACACTATCCCCGATAATGTCACGGCTAACCTGGTGGCTGAACTTTGTGACTTTGTCCTTACCCATAACTATTTCACATTTGGGGACAATGTATACCTTCAGATCAGTGGCACTG